AATGTTCAGAGATTCAACCCCCTCTCTATATTAATTCAGTTCATTTTCTCACAGACACTGACTCAGCCGTGGGTTGTGCAGCACTGACGTTTCTAACCAAACAGCATCGTGTGAGCTGTGATCATCCCATTTCTCCATCTCTGAACAGTGATTGGATATTGTAACTGATAGACAGGTGAAGAAAACGCAGGGGATGAGGGCTTAGAGATATGTAGATATGTTGCCAATGCCATCTGTAAAGCTAATTCTAGCTCTGACAGCTTGCCAGGTTTTAGAAAACTAGGATGCAGATAACTTTCCTTTTTCCTTTCAATATTTGTGTATACATTCTGGTCAATAATGCTTTTCTTTAAAATCAAAGGGAAAATATCGTCTGCACTTTAAGAATTCACTCAAGAACTATTCTTTTAAGCAACCAAACTTTTCCCTTTTAGACTGCTGCTGAAGTGATTTAAAAGGGAAAATGGAAAGCTCAGAAGAAATGAGCATGCGTACTTCTGGGGAATGAAACCTTGCAGCAAAGTCTGATATTGAATGTACGATGCATTTATCTTTAGCAACCTGAGCAGACTGCAGATCAGAGTTTTATATAGTCATTCTGCCCAACTCAAATATTCAAAAGCCTTCAGCATATATTCTTGCTATACACATTATACAGAAGAGGTACTCATTTTCTTTTTTAAAATAGTAAAACCTCCTCTAATTCAGGTGCACACGCCTGTAATCCCAGCTACTTTGAAGGCTGAGGAAGGAGAATCACAACTTGGAGGCCAATCTAGCAACTTAACAACACTTTGCCTCAAAATAAAATAAAAAGGGCTGGGGATGTAGCTCAATGGTAGAAACTTGCCTACCATACCCAAGACCCTGGGTTCAATCCCCAGGATCCCACCCCCTACTCACCACTCCTCCAACACAAAGATTCCTCTAACTCATAAATAAAAGGGAAAAATGTCATAATTAGACCAAATATACCTCAACAAAAATGACTTTTTAACATCTTTAGCTATTACCAAACCCTTCTATGTAGATATTAACTATACAACTACTCACACAGAAACAAAGTTCACTGATTTTTAAGTAATATACTTCTATACCACCTGAAGAGAGACCCCAGCACCTGAAGTCTATCTATGTCCAGAACAGCTTTCTCTATCTTTTATATCAGAGTGCTACACAAATCTATATTCAAGTTGGGTGCAGTAGTGCACACCTGTAATCCTAGCAGCTCAGGATGCTGAGACAGGAGGATGGCAAGTTCAAAGTCAGCCTCAGCAACTCAGCAAGGCCCTAAGCAACTTAGCTGTCTCAAAATAAAAAAGGATAAGAATGTAGCTTAGTGGTTAAGCATTCCTGGGTTCAATCCTAAACACACACACATACACAAATCTATGGTCAAAAGGAAGTTCAGAAAATAAAGTACCTTAAAATTGTATTAGATGGAAATTATAAAGTCAATACCTACAAACCTCAGATGGCAACAGTCAGAACAGAAAAGACTGCAACCATTACTATTATTTTGTAAATCAGAAAGTTTATTTTTATCACACCCAGCAAGGAAAGAGGGGAAAAATTCAAAACTAAGACACTGAAAAAATAAGGCTATTCAGAAATACATATAAATGAAATACATATTTAAACAAGATGACTTTTAGATTATCTACAATATTGAGACAATAAAGAAAACTATGCTCACTTATTTGTAAATTTAAATCCCCAATTGTTTGAGATAGCAATAAGTCCAGCTTAAAAACTAACATTCTCAGTCTCCCTGATCCAGAAATGACCACAGGACATAGCTCTAGGTAATGATTAAGTAGATAACTGCTAGAAAATCTCAAGAAATTTAATTTCCTGATATAAATGAATCCCTTTCCAACTGCTCCTTTTCCCTTTTTTCTTGTCTAGAAGGTAGACATGATGGCTAGAGCTATAATATCCACCTTGTGACTATAAGAGAAAAGCCAATCAAAGCAGAGATTTTTAATCCTGATATATCCTAAAGCAATTAAAAATACTCAGCCATCACCTACCTCTAGATTTCTTAGGTACAAAAAACTAAATCCCCAACTTAGGCCAACGTTTAGTCTGGTTTTCTTTTACAAACATCCCTAAATAAAATCCATAATATTCAAAAAAGTAGGTAGATGCACAAATAAAACAAAATCGGCCACAAATTGGTACCTTCAAGCTGGGTAATGGGTAACAGGGATTCATTATACCTAGTAGATTATGATAAATTATTTAAAAATTGAGAAAGAAGCTTTTTTATAAATTCCAGCTATGCCATTTATAAGTTCAGTGGCCTTGGTCAAGGATATTAGCCTAACTGTTTTTATCTGCCAAATGGAGACAATAATAATATCCAGAGCTCTACTTTCAGATCTGGTCAAAGTAATCTCCTGAAGGTCCCTGGCAGAAATTTCCTCTATCTACCTTAATAATTAATACTTTAATCACCTTAGGATTTTCTCAAGCCTTATTTTTTTAAATTTATTTTAGATGTTGATGGACCTTTATTTTATTCATTTATTTATATGTAGTGCTGAGATTCGAACCCAGGGCCTCACACTAGGCAAGCCCTCTACCACTGAGCCACAACCCCAGCCCTCAAGCCTTATTTTTGATACTGATTCATTCTCTGAACTTTACAACTCAATACCACTATTTAATTAGTTTGAGTACTCTAATTGTTCTGTATGTGAATATTAAAGCATTTCCAAGCAGTACCCTCATATTCTTTAAAATTTCTCCTAAACTAAGGGAAGATTCTCAACAAAATTTGCTAATGTTTGTTTTTTAAAACCTCTTAGTCAATCAGTTTATTATCAACTCCCAGCAGGTAGGTAGTGCACACCTGAAATCCCAGCAACTCTGAAGGCTGAGGCAGGAGGATCAAAAGTTTGAGGTCAGCCTCAGCAACTTTTTAGCAAGACCCTGTCTCCATAGATAGATAGATAGATAGATAGATAGATAGATAGATAGATAGATAGATAAGGAGTTGATCAATGGGAGAGTGCCCCCAGGATTCTTCTATTACAGGTATAGAAGGAGGGAGAGAGAGGGAAGGAATAAATAAATACACAAGTAAGTAAGTAAATATTCTGGGGACTGGGGATGTAGCTCAGTGGTAAGAGTGTATTGTATGCAGGAGGCCCTGGGCTTGTTCCCCAGCACCATAAAAATAAATTAGTAACTAAATAAACTCCCAAAGTAAAATTTTTTTAAAAGTCAAACAATATTTCCAAGTATCCTATGTTTCTAAATGCATAGGGACAAGAGGTCTCTAAAAATAAGCTGTTCTTTTGGGGCAGATTTTTTACAAATTAGGTTTAAAGTAATCTCAAAGAACTTCATGGTTTTTACATAAGATAATTTTTAAAATCAATTTACTGATATGTTTAATTTCCCTTTAATGTTTTTCATTCAAACAACCCTAAATATTAATGCAGCCCACCTTACGAAAGGATGGAAAAAGGATGGATGTAGCTCAGTGGTAGACAACCTGCCTAGCATATACAAGGCCCTGGGTTCAATCCCTAGCACTGTACGGGAGGGAGGGAGAGGGAGCGAGGGAAGAAATTGATTAATTAATTTACCAATGCTACAACTACCAAGAAGAGCTGTATTTGTTACTGAAATCAAACAGCAATGGAAAAAGCACTGAAAGTTTTAAAACATTTTTCCCACTGTATGCATGTAGCTTTTATAAAGCAAACAATGGCTTACTTCCACCCTCATCACCTCTTCAGTATATAATGTAGCACTGTATACATGAGAAGAAAAATATTGTGAATTAGGAAGGATAATATACAATTCACCTGTATAACAAACACACAAGAGTAGATAAAAATATAACCTCACACAATCCAATGCCTCTTTAATCTCAAAGACTAAGTAATTATCCATGAAACAGAGAAAAAGAACTAATGCCCCATTTGGAGAACACACGTATACTCACTAACTATAAACAAAACAAAAAACATTGACATCATTTGGCATGTAATTATAAGTTCATAAAGTCAACTTCACATTAACATTTTACGATCTTATCCCATTAAAAGTCTGCAATGTCAGTGAACTTCTTGTCAGGGGACTTAAAAGCATCAATCACTCATGTTGCTTAGCTGTAATACACAGTTTAAAAGTACCTAAAGTATTTCTTAAAAATTACAAAAAAGATTTCAATATCATGGCATGTTTTTTTCAAGAAAGCTAGTATTTGTTATCAGTCATCAGGAGAATTTTATATTCTAGTTATTTAAATATTCAATAATATCCTCTAAGCAATATTCACCCAGCAAAATCCTCTATGAAAACATGCTTACATACCTGTAATATGTGAGGTTTATAAGCTGTCAATTAATATCCTAAAATTTCAGATCACAAAGTATTGTAAATGAGGTATTCCTCATTTAGTCTCACAGCACAAAATGATAGTTTAAAAAAAACATATAGATAAGCAGAAACTTTTGAAATGAATTTCATTTCATGCATCAAACTTTAAATGAACCAGTATGGTCACTCCAAAAAAGACCGATTTTCCCATTAGGATCAGTATGGCAGCATAATATAAATTCATACAGTTACAAATGTATTGAGGAAAACAATGACATAAATCTATAAATTATCATGTGTAATCTGAACATATAATAAACTTAGAATACAAAATAAATTCCTATAGATTTTAAAATACAAAGAACTAACTGGTTTTGCCAGAGATTCCAATTAAGCCAATTATAATACTCGATCATGGAGTCAACTAAGATTTTAACATAATTTAGAGATAGAAATAAATCTTAAAACAAATATGAATATAAAAACTTAAAAAGAAAGAACTGTTTCTCTGTAAGCTAATTAAGGAGAAATATAAACATGCACAATATTTTGTAAACCATCCCCCATACTCTGACAGGACTTGCCACAACCAAATGCAGTAGTAGTCTTTATAATCAGTTTTAGCAGAGCTTTGATATGTGAAATACATATTTTCTACCTACCTTGAATGTTTATAAAGTTTACGAGGTCTACTATGCAATTTCCGATCCCAAATCTCTGGATCACTGGAGTTACTGTCATAGGGATGAGGCCGTCCTGCCATCCCACTTCAAGCTTCCTCACACTACTGCTTTGAAAGCACACATGTAGCACCCATAACCTACATAAGAGAGTAGTGTTGACCTTTAAATCTATTCCACTCAGAATAAAATAGCCATAGAATTTTATATACTTGATATTATTGTGACATATTTTAAAAGTGATGAATGGATCATAAAACACTAAATATACAAAGTGCCAAAAATCAGATTACCATAAGCCCCAGGAGTCTTTTTAGGTACTTTTCATATGACTTATCTATTAAATTTGCTACTCCTATGTAACAGTGTACCATTCATATCTAGTATATATATTTAACTCCTATTTAGATAGTCATGTTTCCAAACATGAATATAATACCAAAAGGCAAAAACAATTCCATAGAATGATTTATTTATATAAATTTCACTTGGAACACATTTCTTAATGACTAAAAAATAAGATGCTTAACAAAGCAACTAGTAAGACCAAACAACAATGTTAACCAAGTTAAAGAAGCCAAATAGAAATTTAATTTCTGCTCAAAAAATAAATCTATGTAAACATCCTTGTGTTCACTTACAGTGCAATTACCACAAAAAGGTGCTTTATCAATACAACTCATACACTTAACATCTTTTCATATGTTAGGCTTGTGACTGTTAAATCTACCTAGTCATATAAAATTGTAAGAAAACTCAATAGTGTTATAGAAAACCTGGACTATACATTGTTAAAGTATATTCACATCTAATTTAATTTTCACATTCACCTTGCAAGGTAGACATTATAATTTCCATATAAAAAACAGCAAACATCTTTAGAATTTCAGTAACATTATCAAAGTTCACAATATCACTATTCAATAGTAAATACTACTATTTACTCTTTATACTAAAAAGCAATAAAAATTTAGTATACAGAATAGTCTTGACCTTGAAAAGTGCTCAGACTGAAGTATTTGGTTGAAAATAGATCAGCCTGGGGCAGCAGCACCTGACTTTAATTCCGGCAGCTTGGGAGGCTGAGGCAGGAGGATCAAAAGTTCAAAGTTAGCCTCAGCAAAAGCGAGGTGCTAAGCAACTCTAAGCAACTCAGTGAGACCCTGTCTCTAAATAAAATACAAAATAGGGCTAGGGATGTGGTTCAGTGGTTGAGTGCTCCTGCTCAATCCCCAGTACCAAAAGAAAGTAGATCAGATTTGACTTTCAGAGACTGTGAACACCAAAAGAAACCAAATGATAAACTTTGTTCAAATTTTTCTGACCAAATAAACAATTTGAACAAAGTTATATAAACTGGTCTAGAACCCAGGTGTCCTGATGCCTGCTCTTATATACTTACTTTTTCTATACTTTTGTTAAGTTGAATTTGATGGAGAAAAGTAAGGAGAATCATACATAAAAGTCAAAGGGAAGTCCCCAAATCAGGAAAAGACCTTCCTAAATTTTATGTGATATTCCAGTATAATTTCACAGAGAATGCCAAAGACAACTCATTAAAATTTTGAATTTTATATCAAAAACAGTAAAATAAATGGTTTTATTTTAGATAAACTATTTTTCTATGAATTTTCCTCATGGTTACTTCATACCTTCTTTCCAAAAAGTTGAAAATCATAATAAATTAATATTTCAATAATATATAAATATTTCAATGAATGAAATAAAAATAATGGGAAAGGGGAAAAGGAAGAATTGCACAATGGCTGGTTCAAATCCCTATGCAAATGCTACATGATTTATTTTTTGAATGCTCCCATAAAAGGAAATCCATTTCCTGAAGGATCACTGAATCACCAAAAATCAGTTATTAAATGAACATAAAAACTATGAAATTACTTTGAACATAAAGATGTCAATCTCAATTGAGTTTTTAACTATGAAAATATATTTACTCTAAATAAAACTAAAAAACTTCAACTTTATATTATAGCTAATTATCCATACTGAAGAGAGAAAAAGAGAACAAATCAGAGAAATAAAGGGAAAAAGTGGTCATCAATAGAAACACAAAAGGTATAAAGAATAGTAGAAAAAAAATCAATAAGGAGGGATAAGTAAGATGAAGAGATTTAGCATGTTCTGTAGAATGAGATTTAGAACACTTTTCTCCTGACTTTACAGGTCTTCCAATAAATTATTCCAGGGATTAACATTTCATTCTTTACAAAGCATTTTTCCCTCTGCATCCTCACCAGCATACAAGACCATTTTTTCTCTTCCTTGCACTTAACTATCAGAGACATTCCTCTGACTAGGATGGCAACAAATGCCCACTGAGAGAACAATCCCAAATCATGAGAGGCAGTGGCAAATAGGCATGGAATAAGGTAGATTCAGATCCACTGTAACACACAAAACATAAGGGAAATGCCAAAGTTTTCCTAATTTGATCCTACTGAAAATAGTGAGCATATATTTATTGAAAGTAGTGAGCAAGCAAAAAGAAAAGAAACGTTTAATGTTCAGATAAAAGCTTTTTAAAAGTCAATTTAAAAAAAGCATATTCACATTTGATTTGTCAAAAAAAAAAACCCTGAAGTATTTATTACCAGGTGAAAGATTTCTCCCACCCCTCACACCCAATATTTATGGGAGTATAAGCAGACTAAAAAGTGAAATTCAAGTTGAGATATCCCAAAAAAACATGTGTCTACACATGTTAGTGTATTTTTAAATTTTATAACTAACCTAAAGATAAAACTAAATGGTTAAAAGGTAACTGATATACAATATATACTATTTTATGCCATACTCTGTGACTTATATTTGTCTGACTTCATTCATTCACTCATTCAAGCACTTGGGGAGCATCTATTACAATACACCAAGCCATCTGCAATATGCTGTCAGACATTATTTCTCAAAAAACAAACAAAAACCTCATTCAAGTAAGAGAAAAATGACAATTCTCATGACCTGCTCTTGAGTCTCTCGTCTACCTACAGCCCCTCTACTCAAGTCTTTGCACTATTAACCTACCATTTCTCCCCATTAAGTCTTGGTATTCTTTAGGATTTTATCTTCCTCAGTGGTTGCTTGGGTCCAAGGAATCAAAAGACAAAAAAATGAAGATAAAATCCTCGAGAACATCAGAATTAGTTTTCACATCTCTATTTTCACAATCTCTATTTCCATTATCACCATCTGAATTCTTCAACAGGCTTCCCAAATTGCAAAACCAGTCTTGTTGTTTTGGCCTCCCACATCAGCTGGAATCATCTCTATTCACCAAGTAAGAAAGTTTGAAATCAACCCTGACTTCTTATTTCCCTACCTCAAGTCTACTTTTAAAAAAATTTCTTTTTTGACTCTGTTCTCCCTTTCATTCATAAGTCTGCTGCTGACTTCATTTAAACCTCTGCCATCTATCAATAAACCTCTTGGCCGACTTCCTTACCACCATTCAGTTGCACATTTGCTCCACTGTAATCCAGACTTTCTTTCTATCTAAAAATTCTTAATGACTCTCCATTTCCTATACCTAAATTCCTTAACATAAAATGTTCCTTCAAAATATGGCACTTGAACGCCATATTAGGCAAACTAAAATATGCTCTTTGGCTCTTATAATCATCAAAAAAAAAATGCTGGACTACTGGAAACAACATCTCTAGAAAGAATGTCACTGTTCATTTTATTTTTAAGACAATGAAAATCATGCAGAAATCACCTGTACAGAAGCTGAAAAAACTGGGCTTGTTGATTAGGGACATGTGTTCCTCCAGATTACCAAAATTTAACTGAGAAAAGGTGATTCAATTACTTTTACTTATCTTGGATATTACTATCTCAACAAGGAGGGACAGGAGTTATAAAAATCTTTAAAACAAAGGTAACATAAGTGTTCCCTGGGACACTATTTACAGATATTATTAATGACAATGATCTATAGAAGGATTTTTTTTTTTTAAAGTAACAATGTGAGACAGGAATTTAGGAACACAGAGAGCAATGAATCTCAAAAGGGGAACCGCCCTTGAATCACTGTAATACAAAACAACCTGTAAGCAACCCAGACTTCTTCCTAGATAGTAGCTTGCCTACTGATGAAAAAAAGAACAAAACAAGATAACTACAAGGCATCTGGAGGAACTAAATAGCAGGATTAAAACATGCAAGGGAAGGGTGAAGTACAAAGAAAAATGGCACAAACTGGGTAACCTCACCCTGACTTCGGTTCTAGTCCCAGCCCCTTAGCTACCCTATAAATATAAGAACTCCAAACTAAAGCAAACAACATACTTTCTCAGTAATCACCCATATTCCCATTCTCAAATGTGTGCTATCCCTTTATAATAAATCTCTTACCCTGCTACTCGTCCTAAGGCGTCCTTGACTTCCTTATGTAATATGTCAGGAGCCTGGAATGTTCAAGTAAGTACACAAGATCTCTTCTGCCTGTGGAGAGACCTCTTTGGATCCCCTTATGTTGACATAAGGAAACAATTCATTCTGTTCATACTAGGTATCAATGAGCTAAGAAGTTTATATACGTCTATTTTAAAGCTTAAAACAACCCTATATTAGTCTCCTGTTTCATATATGAACAAATAGTGGAATTAAGATTTATATCCTATTTTAACAAAAGTCCACATTCTTCCCAATGTAACCAAGCTAAGTAAAAGAAACTCATATTTTTGTTCCTCATTACCAACAGATGTCTTTTTTAAACTAAGCCATCATGTGGCATTGTCCATCCCAATGAGATCTTGATCTACTGTCATTACACAAGAGCATTTCTATTAACATGAAATGATTGGAAAATAATTCAAGTATGGTAACTGGAGAGAAAGACCCGATGACAATAAGGGACAAAGAGTTCAGACTCAAACACTGTCATAAGCTAAACAGAAAGCCAAATATCCATTAGTGTGGGTAGTAGAGCTATGGAGAAGGTAAACCAAGACAACTGAGAGGGATAAATGTCCTAAGTTAACCTTCCTTACATAGAAAAAGAACCAAAAGGAGGAGAGAGAACCCCATAGAGTAAATTAATTACTTAAGACTGGCAGACAACAGAATGAACACATGAATGTTCACACAGTTAATTCTACCTATATACCAAACCTTCATAGGG